GCCCCGCCAATGTTTCGTTTCATAGGGATTCGGATACCTTCCTCATTGAAGTAGTAAAGAAAATTCGCTTAAGTGCCTTTTTCGGTTACGTGCACAAGTTTTTCGTGCAAAGAAGGATGTGCAGCTAAGCAAAACATACTGTTAATAAAGATACATTGTTTGTGCAAACTACGTATCTTTGAAATTAAATTGCAAAAAATCATAAAATCAAATAATGAAGTTACTTTAGATAAGATGCACTTTATCGATTTTGAAAAAATAGCAACCAGAGTTCTTTGATTTACCCCACGTTGAATTACACAACGTTGTACACATACATGTATGTATGTATAGTGAAGTGCAAAAAGTTCTTGAGAGTTGCAAACTGATTTTAGAAATTTTGATATTTTTAATGAGTTTTTGTTTTTCATGATTACTATGCTAAAAGCTGTTTTGCGAGAACGAAAAACTTTTCCAACTAGTCAATTTTATTTTCAATTCAGATGCCCAGAGTAAGTAGAGAAAAGTTTACGATATTTCAGATATCGAAACAAAATATTGTATGGATATCGTATCGCAACTAGTGATATCAATATAAATTAACCGATATGATGGACAATGTTATTGATATATTTAGTATCGTATCGGTATCGCGCATTCCTAGCTGTGACCTTCATGTGACCAGTGGGTTTCTAGACAGGGCATCAAGAAACTCGTATTAACCTGATCGAACACATCGCTAGAAAGAAAATTTCTAGTTTGTATATTTCTTCTGTGATTGATCAGACTCTGTTGTCAAACACTTAGGCTTATACTGACTCCTAACTAAGTTAAGCTGGAGGCTCTATGGAAAATTATTCATCCGATTATGTGACTAAGGTTTTTCCCCCATTAAGCCGGCGCTAGGACCACACCGGTAATTCTGTTACTAATGAAAATTCGTCTCCGAAGTACTATGAGTCTGAAACAATTGGGATTCTGAAAAGAAATTCGGACAATACCAGCATCAAAAATTTACATACATACTCTGTTTCCCACAAGAAAGCTGTTCAAATACTTTCCCCATTTCTTAAAGCATTTTAGGTGCTTCCGATAAGGTTGGGGAATGATGTATTTGGGGAAAGGATTCTATCATACCTTATCGGCGTTGTGCAAGTTTTAGTATCGTTTTTCGTGAATGGACTTAATAAGCCTCTTAAACTCTTTACGGAAATGGTAAATTTTCGAATCGTTTATGAAAAGCTTTTCTTCATAGTCGACTGGTTTTAAAACGTCACATATAAGAGGTCGTCAACCTCAAATAAAAGATTAATTTTTAGTATCTAATCGGAATTCATTAATGGCCCCGTGATCTTTATATTCAAAGTCACTGATAACACAATTTAAATCTAGTTGTTATTGAGTTTCATCAGTAATTGATATAATAATACGTTCAGATTTACTTTTTTTCTTAGCGCTAATTTAGTGTGACCACATTAACCATATGTCAACCTATGTATGTATGTGCTTTGTTTGATTCTTAACAAATCGAGATATTTTCCCCGTCTTTTCTTTACTGGCATATCCCCTTCAAGGAACGACAGCCAATCTCAGAGCAACAAAATCGGCTTGCATCCATCGCTTTAATAAGTGCGGAGTTTTTATAGGCTACTTCCTAGCCTTCAGCATCCAGTTAAAATTCCATTTAAAATTATTATCTTATTCTAAGCGAGGTAAATATTATTTTCGAAACCTTTCTTTGTGTGTTTGAAAATCGTTTATGTTCCATTCCAAGTATTCAATTGGAGTATCATTTAAAATTGAAGTCTTTCCAACTTGCATTGTTCGTTAGTTAACATAGAGGCTACACTAAAATTGTGTTCTCTTTGTTATCTATAATGAGTTGTATCAGAGCTGGTGGAACACTGAGTATTTCCATTTTATTTGATGACGCCTTTTCCGTTTCTACAAACGTTTTGATAATTACCCGTTCATGTCTTTTATCTTCTTTCGTTATATTTATATTTAGTGGCGTAATCCCAAGAATAATCTCAGATTTTTGTAACACATATATTTCCAATTCCAAACACTCCTTTTCGCTGATTTTTATGTACGGAAGATTTTCAACCAGTAAGCGTTTTTCTGTCGTTAATCACGTAATTGAAAACATTTGGAATATCCGCTGTGGGTAAGAACCAGCAGAAAGTGATAATTTGCTGAGGTAAAAAAAATAATAATCAAGGTATTATCCTCTTGAACATTTTCTTACCCCAGATGTATTAGATCCGATATTTCTGCCAAACTGGTGAAGAAACGTATGCCCGTATGTTTGAGTTTGAGCAGGTCTAGAGATCAACACAGATCAATTGAATCCTTTTCCAGCTTGTCGCGACGGCTTCTTTAGGGGAATGCTTTGCTATTCACACGTTTTGCTGCAAATCTCTTGAGTTTCAGAATCACTTCCAATATTTTCCTATTTAACCGCGACCATAACGGCCGTCCTCTTTTTATTTCATCCTCTCTGAAACTGGTTTGTTTCCCGTTTTCCCGAAAGAAAATTAGTAGCTGTTTACAGGTCTTCCCTTCCTTTGTCAGACCAGATCAAGTTAGAATCCTTCGGATGACTTTAGTTTACATGCCAAAGACCCTTTTTCAGGTATAGTAAACTCTTCTTCACTTTCGTTTTCCAATTCACCATAGAATCCAGAATAACACTTAGCTATTTTAGTGCGGAGTAAGGAAATTTTATTTTTTTGACTTACCGAATTATCTCTCCCGACCAGATGCGAATGCCCAGCCTTCGAAAAGTTAAAATTATGTTCGGGGGTGATATCAAAGAACGTACATATATTACAAGAAGGGACAACTCGCTATAATTGTGGCGAAAGTGTGAAAGTGCGCCCTAGTGCGTTTTTTGATTGGATGAAAAGCGAAGGCACGCCCCTGTTGCGCAATTTCGCTACAATTATAACGAGTTGTCCCTTCTTGTTATCTACGTTCTTTGGTGATATTAGACTATGAAAGTCTCAAAACGCTCCGGGCAATGTGCGGATTTGAGCATTTGCTGTGAATATACATATGTACATAGATTTTTAACTTTAAACGAGCAATTCTTGTATATATTTATGTATATTGTATATCCATAGGTTTCTAGGAAACGGCTCTAACGATGTGTTGAAATTTTTCAGATAATGTTTTGCATTTTGAGGTTATATACATAGATAGGTGTTATCTCCGAAAATATTCGTATTCGAAATTAGTTCAAACTAACTAACACTATAATATGCATATCAAATGGAAAGTTTGTTTTTCAAATCCCCAATATAGAAATATTTTTGAATAGGGTTGCCACCTATTTTCAATCATATATTTATTTAGTTTTTTGAGATTAAAGATAAAGTTATGAATAAAAACTAAGCAATTGCTTTTTCTTATTATTTCAGACCTCTAAAACTGCGTTTCACCTAACCCATTTAAGTTGAAATTAACTTTAATTTAATACAAGTAAACAGCTTATATACAAAATTGTGTTGTGTGTATATTGATCAGCTGATTAAACGTGTAACATCCCTGAATGTGGTTATGCTGATTTAATTTTTACTTAAGTAAAGAGCATTGGTCACTTAAATCAAAATTAAAGGCAAATTTAAAATGATTGCTGAAACCAAACATTCAAAAATTAAAATATTTTTTACTTAAATGAATCAGGTGAAGCGCTGCCTTACTCGATTTATTCAAAGAAGTTTAAGCAAAGGTGTGAAATTTTAAGCAATTGCTTAGCTTTTATTCACAAGGCCAATTATTGCGTTTTACGGTTGCTAAAAAAAGCCTAAACAATGCTTTGCCTATATAGTTGCCACTTATTTTCAATTCTACAAAATTTGACTAAAACAGCTTAACATAATTATCAAATGAAAGGTATTTTTGGAAATTTGAATAAATAAATATTTTCGCTGAGGGTTGCCAGGTTTTTGTAAACCAATTTTAATCTTACTAATTTCAACGAGCATTTTCCGTAATTTGCACTCAAAATATGTACTCTTGAAGAAGGGGATATTTTTTAATAGGGTTGCCACCTAATTTTTAACATCAAATATTTTTATAAACTATTAGGTTAAAAAAGTCAAAATTATGTAGCTTTTTTTTAACAGTCTTTTTGTAGAATTCCGGTGTACTGACTGGGCAAAAATATTTTTATTAATTTTTTAACATAATTTTTTGAAATCTTTTTTTAATAGTGTTTCACTGAACACTGAGGAACTTCTTGGGCTAAAATACTAACGTATTGATAATATTTTTCTTCGACATACATGATTTGTATGGAAAGAGGTACTAGATTCGCGTTATGTTAAATATGAAATTCCATTTACAATATTATGTTAAACACTTTTTAAATTAAAGCTATCCAATTGACCATTTTTGATACCCAAATCTTGAAAACTTTAAAAATTGTAAGGAAGGTTCGGTCAACCTGGTACTCAGACCATATCCCTTGAGTGGTGAATTCACGAAGCTTAATTTAAATTAAATGCAATATTTGAATTTTGTTCCCTTTGTACTTCTTTCTCACGTACTTTTCTTACGAAATCTGCAGTTTCTTTGTTTCTTGGATCACTTCTACGTCTCGAGACCCAGCAGACATTCAACATTCTTTAAAGAATTCCCGTTCACGGTATTTCAGGAAGGCATTTTAAAAAGAGACCAGTCTTTAACTTCTATTGGTCTATTTATGTAGTTTTATGAGTACAAAAAGGAATCCGAACTATGGAAACTCTATCTTGTCTAACTCTTTTCTTAATGGCCTGCTTGTTCATAACCGGCATAGATCTCAAAGCTTCGTACCCAGCCGAAAAATTTTATTTTTGATATTTCAGTCGATAAGAAAGTTCATTGAATACTTTTCATTCATCAGATTATTTTAACATAACTTTTTACCGCTTTTATTTACTAATCTTCTTCATCTCTTCATTTGCAGCGTCGATGAATTGTATCGCTTCATAAACACCTGGGTGCAACATCTCTATGGTGAATTGAATGAAGAACAAATCAAGGCGCGTGGTTTTGAGCTCATCCAAGATGATACCGAATGGACGAAGAGCGGCACCACAAAGAGTGGCCGCAGTGGCAGTCAAGAAAATGAGGAAATTAGTGATTTGACACGCGAGTCGTGGGAGGTGAGTACGCAAGTTTTGAATCAGCAAATAATTTACTTTTTCGTGAGCGCCGCCATCTGCAAAAGCTCTACCCTCTTTAAACTTATTTCGTATCTATTTAATACTTTTTCACTTTTACTACTATAATTTAATGCTATTACTACT